CCCCCCCCCAGACGGGCTGCTGGGCCGGCCTCCTCCCCTCAGTGGACATTGAGAACGCTTTGTATTTATGGACGCGGCGGTGTGGCGCGCGCGTGCGCCAGCGTGCTGGGCTATGTGTGTGCCGAGGGCGGCGCGCGCGCGCGCACAAGCACCGCGGCACAGCACACACACACACACACACACACACACAGCACACACACGCGTACACGCGCACTCACGCGGCCACACTCCTGTGGCCGCCTTTACTGGGCCCTTAACAGAGTCGCCGATCTTAACCGAGTCTCCATTGCGCGCCGCTCCTCTGTCCGCCACTCGCTCCCTCGCCTTCCCCCGGGGCGCTGCATCGGTCTCTCTCTGCGCTGGCAGGCTGCATGCACACCACGTCCGCAGAAGAAAAAAAGGGCAGTTGCTGGGGCTGGGGAACGGACAAGGAGGTGCGCCGCGGCGTGCGCTGACGCGATGCGCGCGCGCGCGCGGGGGCATCATCTGCGGGAGGATGAGCGGAGCGGGACAGGGGGAGGGGGGGGGGAGGCACATCACAACGAAGGGGACACCCATAACCAAGGGCGAGGAGGCTGGGCTGTTGGGGGCCCTTCGGCCCCCGCCGATCGCGCATCTGCGCGCGGCTCAACCCCGCTCGCGCGCATCTCCAAACACGGGGGAACAGCAAGGGGGGCGGTGGCCTGGGGGAAGGGGGGGGGGGTGTGTGGCTGGGGCCGGTTTCTCGCTCTTTTTTATCGACTCGCACGCAAAAAGAGAGGCGCGAGGGGACACGACATTCGTCATGGCAGACACTCACGCGCCCGCGCATACAGGGGGGGAAGGCGCGTGCGCGAGGGCGCGTCTGCCAGAGGATACACCAAAGCCCGGGCGCGGGCGCGAGAGGCAGGGCGCGGGGGCGGGCCGAGAGGGCGGTGGCGAGCGCGCGCGCGCGCGCACCCACGCACAGACGGTGTCCGCTCGCCCTGCTGCACCATGCGCTGCTGTGCTCGGGGCGCACGCACCGCACGGTGCTCTCTCGCTCTCCCTTTCTTTGGCTCAGATGATGGCATCCGGCTTGTCGACCTTCGTGAAGGCGAGCAGACCATACACAATGCCGGCCACGATGAGAATGATCCCTGCCACGAAAGTGAACGTGTACTTGGGACGATCCAAGATCAGCAGACCGTACCTGTGTGCGTGTGTGTGTGTGTGTGTGTGTGTGTGTGTGTGCGTGCGTGTGTGTAGGATAGGCGGAGGGGACGGCAGCCCGGCCATCGGTGGTCGGGGAGGCGGTGTCAGCAGCCGAGGCGGCAAGTGGCGGCGTGGCAAGGAGGCGAGTGCTGGTGACTCCCCATCGGGGTCCTCCTTCGACCGGAGGCACGCACATGGTGATGAGGATGCCCTTCCCCCACCAGGTGGAGGTCAGGAAGGTGAAGTACTTCTTCACCCATTGCATTTGGTAGATTTCTACCAATGCATGGAATAGGCAGATGATACTGCGAGGGGGCGGGGTGGGGGGGGGGGGGGGGAGGGGGTCGGCCACGGAAGGTAGGGTGTGTGCGCGGCGAGGCAGGCAGTCAAAGCGGTTAGCAGGGCAGCAGGCCCACGGTCGGGGACCGGGCGCGCAGGCACACATGAGGAGGGCGTGCGTGCGCGCGTGCGTACCAAATCACCACACCGATGATGACCTGCGAGTAGCCGCGGTCGTTGTCGGCACCATCGATGGCCTTGACGATGCCACCGGCGAGACCAAGGCCGGCCATGGCCACGGCCAGGACACTGAAGAATAGCGACGTGATGGACATGCTGGCTTCAGGCGGGATGGGGCGGCTGGGCGCGCCGCGCGCGGCCCCGGGCATCCACGAGCCGAGGTCAGTCGTTGACGGGCACAGGGGGAGGGGCGGAGGGAAGAGGGGGCGATATATGTGTGTGCGTGTGTGTGTGATTGCGCGCGCAGGGCGGACGCGACAGCGGGGTGATGGGCAAACGTAGGGGCACGCCCGCGCGGGGCACACAGGCGGACGCGGCAGGCAGGCAGGCAGGCAGGCAGGCAGGCAGGCGGGGCGAGGGGGGCGGGGGGTGACGGCCGTACGGACGCAAAGAGACGCGGGCGAAGCGAGAGTGCAAAGGGCGAGGGAGGGGGACAAAGGAGCTCAAGTGATTGCTCAGCAAATGGCAGAAGAGCTTATACCCGGGGCTCTCCCCTAGCCTGGCGCTCGAGCTGGCCATTTAAATCTCTCCCCCACAATCAAGCCCACGAGCCGGTGAGGCAGGCGCGCGGGCGAGTTTCACGCGGGGGAGCGGGGGGAGGGGGGGGGGGGGGGGGCCCCCCCCCGGCCGGGGCCCCCCCGGGGGCCCGGGGGGGGGGGGGGGGTGGGGGGGGGGGGGGGGCGGGGGGAGGGGGGGGGGGGGGGGCGCACTCACCCGGACATGGCACTCACCGGGGACCCGAGGGCGGGGGTAGGGTCGAGGGGAGCGTGTGCCTGTGTGCGCGCGTGCAAGGGCGGTGGGGCTTTGCCGGCGGGCGCTCCGCCGGGGTGCCGGCCTCCCCCTCCCGCCCCATCCGCCCGTTTCCCCTCTCACAGCGGCCGGACGTGTGTACCGGGTCGCGCCCGCAGGGGCATTTGCCGGGCACGGGTGCAGCGACTTTCTTTCCATCGGTGCGTCGCCACCGATCCGTGGGCGCGGGAGCTGGCGCCGCCCGGGGCAGTGCACCCAGGCGAGGGCCATCTGCAACAGGGGGGCGGCGCCGGGCCGTACATTATTCTTTTTTTTCGACAAGTGCCGTGGTCCAGCCGGTGCGAGCTCGCGGTATGGCTGGGACATGGGCGGTGCCGGGCCCGGGGCGGGCGGCGGTCGCTGCTGATCTGACGCGCTCCCGGACGCTTTGGGCCTCGGGCTGTGCATCGGGCCATCCACGACGCTCTTCCGATCTATCTGCAACAGGGGGGCGGCGCCGGGCCGTACATTATTCTTTTTTTTCGACAAGTGCCGTGGTCCAGCCGGTGCGAGCTCGCGGTATGGCTGGGACATGGGCGGTGCCGGGCCCGGGGCGGGCGGCGGTCGCTGCTGATCTGACGCGCTCCCGGACGCTTTGGGCCTCGGGCTGTGCATCGGGCCATCTGCCCGCCGGGGCCCGGCTGCGGCCCTTGCACTCTGGACCATGGGCAGGCGGGGCGCGAGCAGGAGGCGAGGCGGCGGCGGCGGCGGCGACGGCGATGGCTGAGCAGTTCCAAAGAATGGTCTGCTCCGGGCGGGGAAAAGGGGTCCCACCTACGAGCGAGGCGTCCTGCGCAGCCGGCTTCTCTCGCCGGCTTCCCCTCCCACCAGTGCAAGGGGGTATGGTGCAGGAGGGCCTGTGGGCCGACCG